CTTTCCAAGAACCGTGGACGAGCTCAAAGCTGCCTTAAAGGAGGAGTGGTCGAAATTTGATGTCAATATTCTTAGGGCAGTTATTGACTCAATGCCAAGAAGAATTAACGCGGTATTGGAGGCAAAAAGAAGGCCAACAAAATATTAATTAAATATGAAATAAGTTTTTTATGTATAATATGAAAAAATAAAATAAATCGAAATTATATTTTTATGATAATTGAAAATCAGGCGTTACTTTTTGAGGTGGGGCTTTGGTCAGATCTTCTAGAGAGCAATCAGATATCTTTTGCTATGTATCTAAAGGCTTGTGCCAGTAACTACAAGGTAAGTGCATTTGTGTGGTTTGGGGAATTTATAGGAAGGAGCAAAGGGGAATTATGCTGCTAACAAAAGAGACTATTTTTATTATTAGTAAGTTAGATTTCTTGGAATCACGAGTTTTGTTGCTGTACAAAGTCTTTCGATGGTTTGAATATTCTACAAAGTGAAACAACTATAATCAAAGGAACACAGCTTTCTTCTGGTAAAAGTGACAAAAGCAAGAGGTAATTCTTCTTTAATTACTTTTGAACTTTTTTATTTTGTTTCACACTTGCCCTTGACTGGGGCCCTATTTACATTAATTTTTATGTACATGTTGGTTATATATTTTAAGACAAATAGGTGAAAAACTGTACTAATAACTATTCTATTTTGTAGGATGGATGAACCATCATACCAATTGGCCAGAACAGTGTATTAAATGGCCATAATAATGTTAATATTAAAGAGCTTATTATTTAGTTGATCAGATGATCAATCCGTTATGTAAACTATCTAATAAAGTTATTACTATAGCGATTGTTGGAAATGGGCATATTGGTAGTTTTGTTTGGCGCAAATATTCTATTTGCTACTGTGTTTGATGTTATCTTTATATAATTTTTTATGGATTTTTTATATTTATTACTTTATTAATTTTTTATTTGTTCCAGGACGACCTTTGATATTGCTATATTCTTCTTTAATAATATATAGATAGATAATAATATGTATCTCATCCTGTAGTATACGATGATGAGAAGAGAATTCGCAACGATTTACGAAAAACTTTCTGGTACCTTTTATATTTATAGACGTACATCCAGCAACAAGACAATGCCTCTTACTTTTTCACAAAATTTTCATAAATGAATTGTATTTGGTGACTCTTACATTTCCATGACTTTATATTTTACTCACATTATCAACTAATCCATCTTTAAATAAATACGGGGAATGTATATAAACTATCGGGCGGTGAATGACCACCACCGTATCTCCACAAGGGTTTGATTCTCAGATGGTCCTGTTTGGTCAGAATATGTAGCTAAAGACCTTAAGCTAGAATTAGTCAATTATGCATACGGAGGTGCAACAACGTAGTATGTTGAAGTTTAATATTCCCACTAGCATTTATTGATGGAACTTTTATTCTAATAAAGTGTTTCTATTTTTATTGCATACATTAATGATCGGTCGATTAAAGGTGATTCAGAATTTAAATAGCTTTATTTCAGAATCATAAAATACCTCGAGGCTGATGTTTATCTTCACTTATCATATAGGTTATTCAGGAAAAATGTGATCCCCTTGTTCCTGGGTTGCTACAACAAGTTTCACAATTCCTACAAGATTTCCTTTCCACTCGTGGCAAGCCATTAGATCATTTCTTTAGAATTTTTAATAACAAAAAATTTAACACTACATCTAATCAATATTCTCATTAGACATGGCTAACATGTAACGATTATGTTTTCAGCAAACCCTAAAAATGTAGTCACAAGGATGACATTATCCTGGAAAAACTCCATGAAAATGGGATCTGAAATTTCCTAATACCAAATATGACCGATTTCTCGTATTGCCCTGTATTCCGAACAAATATATCGCGCGTTTAAAAACTGACATTCGGAGACACAACGACGCGTTGCAGAATGTCATCCAACATAATTGTCCGAATGTGGTGGTTCATACTTTTGCAGCTGAGCAATTTTATAATTATACCGAACGGTCAAATCAAAGTTTTGTCGGGTAATGTATTGGAAAGAGGAGAAGGAAGAACATGATAACTGCGTGAAAATGTGTGTGAGTGTGAAGGAAATGTGTGACATTGTCTCGCGAATTTTCGTTGGACAGCACCAGCCAAAACGAGATCAACCTTGTACACGTACAACATGTACATGTATAAAATATTTCACATGTTTTTAAATGTCAACACAAGCATAACAATTGCTCCCTATTACCAAAACGATGTCAGCGAACACCGTGGAATCCAACCGTGAAAGTGTAAATAAATTATAGCAAAACTGTTGCCATAATGTGACAGAAATTTCAAGAAAAACTGGCATTCCACTTCGCTCGTGTGAACGCTATGTTGCTCTTCTTCGTAAAAATGGACGAATTCCCATTATCCGTCATTCTGGCCGTCATGAAATATCTTACCTGACATGCGCCACCAAATTGGAAAGTTGATAAATGGAAACAACTTTCTCACAGGAGCTGAAATCAAGGCACGACTTGAAGAAACACCCCCAGGATTTGAGGTAGAAATCCAAATCATCCGTGACGATGCTTGCCAGGCTCAGTTATGTTGCTGGTTTACTAAAACACGTCCCTCTTCTTGCTCCACGAACGAAAGAAAACCATCTTCAATAGGCAGAAAAACATTGTAATTATAACTGGAAGAAAGTCACTTTTCTGATGAAACCACCCTACAATTATTGCGAAATACTTCTTGGCATGGTTTCGTTCTGAAAAAGTGGTTGCACCAATGGTAAAGCACCCATTAAACTTCATATGTGAGAAGCAATTTGTGCATGTGGCAAAGTCAGGATGTACACATTTTCCGAAAATATAGATCGCTATTTGCATTGAAAAATTCTTAATGATCACTTGTACGACAAGATAATGATCCAAAACAGATGTTCGTGATGATCTCGGGATCCATTTTCCAAACTTGGCCATCTTATAGTTCCAATCTTAATCCGATCGAAAATATCTGGACATTGTTGAAGCAAAATGTAGAAACAAAGGTTAAGAAAATCATAGCACAGAAAAAAAGTGCGCCACGTGAAGTTTTCGTTAGGTTATTTGAGAAGGAATGGGAGAATTTTCGGATAAGGTCATTCTTCAATGCATCAACATATACCTGATCATATTCAGACCTGAATTGATGCATATGCATTATTAAATGATTATGGGCATATGTAGTCCTAAATAAATTTTTAAATTTTAAAAAAATTACCCGCTACTATTTTCCGTGCGAACTGTAAACGTACTTATAATCATCGACAAAATTCGTAACAGACTGATCATCCGTCAACTAATGCGTTCGCGGCTGGTATTACGGAGACTTTATTGAATTATTCTTATGTATATTAAATATTTTTTTTGATTACATTTGTATATAAATTTTTGATATCTAAGATTTATTTAGTCTGTATTTCAAGAGTTTTGGTATTCTTAGTTTAATAAAATAGAAATAAATTTCGTAATCTAAAGAAAAAGTTATGATTCTGTCTAATTTTGATTTATTATTTGAGTTTTCATTGTCCGTTCTACAAACTGCATTGAAATATCTCAATCAGTTGCTGTTATTTTTACTAAATATTATTCTCATTTTAAAAAGATTATGTACTCTTTTCTTTATTTTATATATTATATTTATCATATTAGTAACTTTTGTATAAAGTAAAGGTGTTTCAATATATTTCATTGCATGTAAGTTTAAAGTTCATTTTTGATTGAAAGTGTGAATATTAATTTCTTTTCAGAGCAATGGGCATTACTTTTTGATAATATAACTGTTGAAATATTAATTTCATAATCTTTAACAATTATTTTACTATTTAACTTAACATCACATTATTTCATATTACAATATTATTTTTAATTATTATTGCCAATCCTAATGACCGATTCTCTTGTGATTTTGACAGTGCCAAAGAATTATTCGAAATAATTTAAGTCTTATATTTGATAATATCAAACTGTAACAATGTCAAAAACACATGAAATATCCAAAAAAACAAATTATATATATAAAGAGACTCTAATAAATTGGCATTTAATGATTAATTCATTAATTGTAATATTCTATTAGATAATCTTCAAAGCTTGATTGCAAGTAGTAAAAGATCTTTATTATAATAAGTCACCATTGATTTTATTATTTAAATAGCTATAATAAGTCTTATCAAATTTTTGTTTGTGAAAAGCACTTTTGAATTTTAATTCTTGTTTTAAGATCATATCAATAAGTCTTATTATTTGATTTTATTTTATTTAAGTTTTTTGCACTGATTAAAGATATAAATTCTGTTGATTTAATTTTATTGGTTTTAATTAGCAGAAATCATTAAATTATATTATTAAAAAAAACTTTTCAATTCTCATTTCAGATTGATTTGCATACAAATTATTATAGAAATTCTTTAGAATATTAAAAAAATCTTTTAATAATAAATAATTTAATCTAGCCTTCACAAAACTCTATAATTATAAAATAGATTATACTCTTTTAATTAAGTATAATATATTCTAGTATCCTTTTTATAAAGATAAAGCATTATATATTTCTGCAAAAAATTATAATATATTAATAAAGATTTTAGAAAATTGAAAGTTTCTAATTAAAAATTATTATTAATAAATAAATATTATTCTTTTACTAAATACTTAATTATTTATTATTTGAAACTTTCTTAGAATAGTCAGATAGACTGTATTATACTATATTTTATTATTATTTTCAGATAAAGAATTCTTGTAATCTTATATTAATATTATAATTGGCTATAAAATTATTTTATTATTTAAAACTTTCTTACCAATAGTTAGATAAACTATTTAATAATCTGTATTATTACTATATTTTATTTTTTTCTATATAAAGAATTCTTTGTAATCTTCTATCAATACTATAATTAATTATAAAGTTATTATATTAAGTATTATATTAGTATTATTATTGATTTTTTAAAGAAATAATTATTATTAACTTTAATCGAAATATCATATCTCTCAAATCAATAAATTATATTATAAAATAAATTAAATTATCTTAAAGAATTCTCAGATAAGCACTTATATAAATTTTTTATTATCAATATTGTGAAATAGCTTAGAATATCTTTTTTGGCTTCTTATATAAGTATATTTTTTTCTTGATCGTTAAAAGTCTCACAGACAGTTGTAAATTTTTTTGTTTTTTTTATCTTTTTTATATTTGATAAGACTATTATACTATTATTGGATTTTTTTTTTTTTCCCAAAAAGGGAGGGTGAAGCAAGAACCCGTTTATTATTGGATTACAATACATTTTTCTTGTAGCTTGCTTGATACTAATTGTCTCTATTTGAATTTATTGCATTTTTTCTTTCCTAATGTAGATCAAGTTTTATTTTTTGAAACATCATGTTCTATTCTCTCAAATCAATGAAATGGCTTAGGATGCTTTTTTAGTTTCTTGCATATATACATTATTTTTCTTGATTGTTACAAGCTTATGATCTCAGATAGTGATAAATTTTCATTTTTCCCGTTTCTTTTGTACTTTGGCAGGAGATCATTATACTCTTACCAGTTTATGCCACATTTTTTTTGCAGTTTGTTAACACCCATAACTTCAATAAAAATCACTATTTTTATCCTCGTCAAAGATAGCCAACTGGTATGATAGGTATTATATTTACACCTAAAAAAATTTCGCTAGTGTATGTTAAACAGAAGAAAATAATAAAAAATTAGGGTCAACAATAACAAAAAGTGGACAAACGCGACGCATATATTTACATGTACATTTTTTGTGTATTTGCACAATTAGTGTTCCAAGCCGGCAATAAAATACTGAGTTGGTATTTTTTTTTGACTAGCCGACCCAAGTAATAATCATGTGAACTTCCTTATTTTTTTAACCCATGGATAGCTTTTTATTACGATAATAAAAGTTTCCTAATTTGAAAATTTTCGGGATCGACTTGCGCCGCATTGAAGAAATTAGCTCGACTGAATCAGCTATGCGCCGGCTCATTCTAGTCAGCTTTAAACACTATGCACAATATACATTAAAGCTGCTTAGAGTTCTATAATTGGAAACATCATAAATTGTTATCGTTAACAATTACATGTATTTATTACCATTATCGTTATTCCTAATTTTGTCTTAAAGTTATGAATTTGGCTTCTATAACTAAAAATATATTAAAGTTATGGATTCCTAATTCATAGTATCGTACATATGCATGTACATGTTTACCTGTTTTAAATTTAATGTGATTTGATCATGAGTTCAATAACGATAATCAAATTTTCGTTCTTTGGGTTAGTGTATTTCAAAATTGGCAATTTCATAGAGCAGTACTAATTGATTTTTTTCGTTCGTTTATAAAACGTAAATAAGATACAATTAAAAATAAACTTGATTACTATTGTTAATGTTTTCAAGAACGTACATGTATTACGTGAAGCATTTAAATTTGAATTTATTATAAATAATGAGAATTTACTTTTAAAACCTAAATTAAAATTTTATTTCAAATGGAGAAAAGAAAAATCTCTCTTATTCCACTTTTTCTCACTGTCATATTATTAAATTATTTTGCTTATTCATTTCCACTACCAAAGTATGTAAATGTCATTATTTAAAATTTTTTAACCAGATTTCTTTAATTACAGAATCTGTTTTGAATGCCTTGAAGTTGCCCCTTCACCAAATCCCTTCCCAGA